GGCGATGCAGTCATTATCAGTCTCGCTGGCTGCCTAGCATCTCCTGCTAAACTGGCAATGTGCCAGCCATTCCCCCTGCCCCCTCTTAAATTTACCATTACATGTTGGCAGCAGGGATGCTCTGCCTAGGCCAGTGAGATCTACAGAGGGGAAAAAAGAAGAAGTTATAAAGGCAGGGATGTGTTGCGTGCATGGAATCTGGATGCTGAGTGCATCAGTTGGCACTGGGAGCGCATCAGTTTCATGCCCAGTTATCCATGATCTGGTCACCTCCAGTTTGGATCACTGCAACGTGTTTGGAACTGATCTGAAATCTCTTCTTAGGTGCAAGGGACTGAGTGATTTTTATCACATTGTACTGGTACTTCTTCATCATGTGTACTGGTTTCCAGTCCGTTTCTGGGCCTGATACAGAGTATTAGGTAAGACCAATGAAGCCTTAAGCAGTTTAGACCAGGATACCTGTAGGATCACCTCCTCTCAATTGTACACAGGAACTGAACACAAGAACATTTGAAGCTGCCTTATACTGAATCAGAAACATTGGTCCATGAGTAGATCATTACTATCTGCACTGACAGGCAGGGCTTCAGGTATGGTCCTCTCCCTGTTTGTACATGGAGGTGGTGGGGATGGAACGTGGGAGCTTATATATCAGGCATAGGCAAACTCGGCCCTCCAGATGTTTTGGGACTACAACTCCCATCATCCCTAGCTAACAGGACCAGTGGTCAGGGACGATGGGAGTTGTAGTCCCAAAACATCTGGAGCGCTGAGTTTGCCTATGCCTGTTCTGTATGCAGGGCAGATGCTCTATCACAGAGCCATGGCCCTTCCCTTTACGGAAACCATCTTCAGAAGCCCTTCTCTGGGTGTCCTTGCCTGGTGAGGTGTGGTGGGTGGCTGCTGGAGAAAGAAATTGGTGATAGTACCGAGCTGTGAAAATCGCTCCCGAGAGAGTCTTGCTTGGTACCTGCCTTGCGGTATTTTTGACATCAGGTGGAAACCTTTAAATACACCCACCCACCCTTTTAAGCTTTTAAATGTTAAAACCTGCTTAAAATATGAAGTGGTACCTCGGGTTAAGAACTTAATTTGTTCTGGAGATCCGTTCTTAACCTGAAGCACCATTTTAGCTAATGGGGCTTCCTGTTGCTGCCTCGCCGCTGGCGCGCGATTTCTATTCTCACCCTGAGGTAAAGTTCTTAACCCATGGTACTATTTCTGGTTTAGCGGAGTCTGTAACCTGAAGCATCTGTAACCTGAAGCGTATGTAACCCGAGGTACCAGTGTATTCATATTTAAATGTAAAATGCATTCACATTCAAATTGCACCCCCCAAAAAGAGAAATACTCATTTTATATGCCCTTTCTAGACATCTTTTTTTAAAAAATAAAAAAATCGGAACTGTGTAGCAAAATTCGGAGAACTGCAGTTGGAACACAGTGATCACTCTGTGTATGTAAGCTCAGGAACTGTGAATGAAATTCTTCACCACCACTAATGAAGGCTCATTTGCAGTTCTGGGATATGATTCCCTGCCTCCTTTCTCCCTTATGGAGCAAAACCAAACCTGTGTACTTCTTGTCTGTGGGCGTCAGCAGGCTTTCATTCCCAAGCATCAATTCCCCACCAATTTGGGCGCTGAGTCTACGACTTCCATTGTCTTCCCCTTCCGCTCCCCCCACCCCAAATCCTGCTTTCTTAGAGTGCGGCAGGTTGGTTGCCATGGGAACCGTTTCCTTGAGAATGGACGATGATGCGCTGTGGATGCTTGCAAGTGTTGCATGAAATAGGTACCTTGAAACGGGTGGTGCAAGCTGGGTGTTTGTAGCGGCACATGGGGAGAACCGTTTCCCACTACTGAGATGGCTTCACTGAGAGCACTTTTGCCTCCTGGTAAACTGGAGCACAGCTCATGAATGCAGTCTTGGTTGGGGAAGTCTGTCCTCATGAGTCCTGCTTTCCAGAGTTTCTGAGTCTCTTGGAAGGGAGGGTGGGTCAGAGGGTCATGGAGATTAGCTAAACATTTCCATGGCTTTGCATTTATGCTTGCTGAGAGGCTTGCCCATCTATGGCATTGTTATAACCTCCCTCCTCCCCCTTTTTTGACCTGTACCCAGATAGAATTTTATTTTAGGGATGATTGAAATAGGGACATAGGAAGTGGAACATAGGAACTTATACCAAGTCCGACAATTGGTCCAAATAGGCCAGCACTGAGTGATGGTGGGGCGTCGGAGACACTGGCCTACAACTCCCATCATGGCTGACCATTCACCATGCTGGCTGGGGCTGATGGGATCTGGAGTTCAACAACATCTTTCCCATCCCTACCTGGAGATGTCAGGGGTTGAACCAGGGACCTTTCAACATACAAAACATTTGCTCTTCCACTGAGCTACAGCTCAGATTCAAGTCTGGTTGGATTTCAGGACAGGACATATCTTGATCATGCACTATTCCCATTTCTTCTTCTTCTTCTTCTTCTTCTTCTTCTTCTTCTTCTTCTTCTTCGAAAAGCATATTAAAGAAATCCAGTTTACCATTTCACCTTTTCAAGTATGTCCTCACCACTTTCAGCAAGTAGACAGAACTTGATTTCCTTCCAACCCACTGCTTTAGGGGCTGCAGTTTTGTTTTGCCTGGAGACCTTTTGTGAGTGAAGGTATTCAATGGTGACAGACATTTTAGGGGTTGCTGTGTCTTTAAGCATCCCTGTTGAGCTAATTAGGGATTCCCACTGTATCACTGTGCAGTTTTGCAATTCAGTTTTCCTGGGGAAAAATTCTAAAGCATGCCTCCAGAATCTGAGAGGCAGTGTGACATAACAGTTAGAGTGTTGGACTAGGACCTGGGAGGCCAAGGTTCAAATCCCCACTCAGCCATGAAGCTCACTTGGGCTGTTTGCTACCTCTCAGACTAGCTTACCTTGCAAGGTTATTGCGGGGATGAAATGAAGTGGGGAGAACCATCTAAGTCACCTGGAGTTCCTTGGAGAAAATGGTGGGATATTAGTGCAATCAGTCAGTCAGTCAGTCAGTCAGTCAAGATGCTTCAAAAATGGAATCCAAGAGAGCCAGTGTAGTGGTTAAGAGCGGTAGTCTCGTAATCTGGTGAACCGGGTTTGCGTCTCCGCTCCTCCACATGCAGCTGCTGGATGACCTTGGGCCAGTCACACTTCTTTGAAGTCTCTCAGCCCCACTCACCTCACAGAGTATTTGTTGTGGGGGAGGAAGGGAAAGGAGAATGTTAGCCGCTTTGAGACTCCTTCGGGTAGTGATAAAGTAGGATATCAAATCCAAACTCCTCTTCTTCTTCTGTCTGTAAACCATGATAGAAATGCAGTCCTGCAAGATTCAGGTTGGGCATCCTATTGAGACAGTTTTCTGTACACACACTCTTCCTTTGTTTATTCATTTGCCAAAATCTGTGTACTCCACGTTTCTTTCCTGTCGTGGGACAACCCACCTCACAGCATAGCTAACAACTGAATCTAAAATTTGATGCGGTCAAAATACATCAAAACTAACATGGCATGGCTGATCAGCAGTTCAATTAGAAGCTGCTGGAAAAGGGAGAGTAATCAAATTTCCATGCTGAAACAAGGGCCTCATCTGCACCATAAATTTAAAGCACTGTGGTGCCATTTTAAACAGTCATGGCTTTCCCCCAAAGAATCCTGAGAGCTGTAGTTTGTTAAGGGTGCTAAGAGTTCTGAGGAGACCCCTATTCCCCTCAGAGCGGTATAATTATCAGGGTGGTGATAATTGTCTGTTACTTGTCTGTTGCAAAAACAAAACAGAAACACCCGGAAAATGAGTGAGCTTTTTAAAATCTGCACCAGCTTCTCCCAACCTGGTGGCCTCCAGATTCCTTCAGCCCCTTTTCAGCATGGCAATAGTCAATGATTAGTGGGGTTGTAGTCCAATGTTGTAGGGGAGACACTGCGTCGGAGAAAGCTTGATCCACACTTTCAAATAACATTTCAAGGTTGAAGTCTTCCTGTGGGCTGTTCCTGTTGTGCCAACTCTGCCCACAGGGTATTTAGTTAGTGCATACTTGGCTGGCTGTGTTGGCAGACTTTAGCATCATTGTGGTACCTACTGGCTGCTGATGACTTGTTCTTATGTACCGTATTGGTCGACACGGAGGGAGGGTTGATGCTGTGTTTATTCCGCTTCTATTCCAACCGACATTCAGGGCAGGCAGGTTGTACAAATAAAAGTTTCTGTAAACAAAAATGGGAAGACAAGAAGGGTCTTGTCCATGAAGGAGTCATAAATGATCATGCAGATGAAGGAAGGTGATCTCCAAAAGTGGGGAAACTGTATATCTGTGGAAGAAATATGACTCCCCCAATGGAGAGATTCTTGAAACTTCAGTCTTTATTCCTGAGTGCATTTTTATTCCCAAGAGAGTTTTGCAGCCTGGGCAGGTAACCTAGTTCCAGAGATCCAGGTTTTGCCATCTTTCCCCTGTATGCACACTCTGCATCTACTTTTGGATAAAACTGGGTCTTATCCTGCTCATTGGAAATGGCATCCCACTTACCTAGTTTCCATTTGTAAGTTGGGATATGTTGTTGTTGTTGTTTCTCTAGAAAATTGAATATTCATTTGGAGATTCTCCCTCTGCGAATTAGGGTAATTTACATGGGGTGATTCACATTGGGGAAATGTTCAGTTTGCATTGGAAAATTTCCTGACGCCTTAGAGGGTGATCTAATTTAGTGTGTTTATTGTACTTGTCTGCAGTAAACAAAGTGGAAGCTGCCAAGCTTGCTTGGTATTTATTGTATTTGCAATTGGCATCCAATCATTGTTACTAATGAACTTATGAAAGGGAAAAAATAGCTGTGGGTAAAGGGGGGGGGTCTGGAAAATGTTCTGCCACACACCACTGATTCTAAACCAGATTTGGTGTGTGTGTGTGTGTGTGTGTGTGTGTGTGTGCATTACTCTAGCACAGATTGTAGCCCTCCATTGAAATTTAGGGAGGAGCCATAGCTCAGTGGTAGGGCATCTGCTCTGCATGCAAAAGGTCCCAGGTTCAAACTCCTGGATCTCCAAGGTAGGACTGGAAGAGATACTCCTGTCTGAAACCCTGGAGAGCTGCTGTGAATCAGTGGAGACCAGGGTTCCCCAACCTTGGGTTTCTAGCTGTTTTGGACTACAATTCCCATCATCCCTGACCATTGGTCCTGCTAGTGAGGGATGATGGGAGTTGTAGTCCAAAAACACCTGGAGACAAAACCCGAGACAAAAGAATAGGTGTGATCCATGCTGGGGAGGACAGCAAAAGCTTTGACAATGGCTTTTAATACACTGTGCAACTGAAGCAATGAGGAGATTAGCGTTGGCTGCTAATTAGATAAAGGGTATTTTGTGTGTGTTAAATATAGGAATGGTTGGCAAGTGGAAAGTATAGATGCAGATACCTTGGCTTGCCTCCTGGGAGTTTGGCATGCATGTTCTAATTCTGTCACTTGGGGGTGTGTGTGTGTTTCATTTACTAGGGGAGGTGTTCAACTAGGTTTTGCTCAAAAGTAGACCCATTGAAATTAATGGTTAGGTTCCAGGATGATTTGTGGGTCTACTTTGTGTAAAGCTTTGTTGAATACCACCCAAGAGGAGGCATTCCCCTCTGCCCAGGGCTTTTAGTAATGCATAGTACTGGTTCAGTGAGACCGTAGTATAGTGAATCACATTTTTTGGTTTTTAAATTTTGTAACTTGCTAGGAGTTAAAACTGGATTGCATATCACACCTTCCACATTTGGGGGGACTGTTCATCTCCTGTGAACATGGGGGGTGGAGAGGATTTGGAGACTTTGAGGGGGTGAGCACATTTTAAGAATTTGGGGTGTATGTGTTACCTTAAAACAGAAGGAACTTCCCCACATAAGGGAATGATATATTAAATTATGGGCGTTGGCCACCTTTAGCAGGAGAGCTTGGATTCTTAAAGTAAATTGATTGGAGTAATAATGGGCTGTGTTTTAAGAACTGTGGCATAGCCGGAAGAAGGGGTATTAGTTATTATCATTTTTTTCCATTTTATGAGGAAATAGGACTATGGAACAAAGCTAGTGTGGCATAGTGATTAGAGTGTCAGAATAGAGCCTGGGAGATGAAGGTCGAAATTTTCACTTGGCCATGACCTTGGGGCAGTCTCTGCTTCTTGGCCTGGCCTACCTCACAGGGTTGTTGTGGAAGAACCACACACACCACATCTGAGCTCATTGGAGTAAAAGGTGGGATATAAATGCACTGAATAAATAAATGAAAACAATGTTTTCCCTAATTCTCAATCATAAATTACAAACTAAAAAGCATTCTCCAAATAATTCCCTCCTACTAACTACAACTATAATTATGTTTGTTATTTAAATCATCATGATTTATTTTTTTGTCTAATTATTAGCTGTTCAATTAGCAATCACATAATTGTTTAATTATCTATTCTTTTGTTACCAGTTTGTCATTATCATTTTTTTCCTCCACTTGGTTCTTCATTTATTTGCACTCTGATTTCTTAATATGCCTGTTATGCTTCAGGTATAATAAGGAGAGGAAGCTCTTTGTTCGGAAAATATGAAGAAACTGCTGCCTTTAATGGACTATATTATATTCAAAACACCTGGGCTTCTTGAAACCTCTGTGAGCACTGACATACAAGAAGCTGCCTTCTATAACTCAGACTCCTAGGTCCTTCTAGCCCAGTATTGCGTCTTCTTCTTCTTCTTTGGTGATCACTCATAGCTGAGTAAGATTGACTTCCATGAACACGATTTTAACAATGAGTCCGTAAGTGACCGTGGAGGCCAATTCTGGATCCACACGTCCTTCCACAGTGGGGACATAGATTTCCGGGCGGGAGTTGATTACGGTGAGGGTTTACCAAGTGTGCCTTCCTCTTAGCTCATTTCTCCCTTTCGTCCTGAGTTTGATCATCTTCAAAGCAGCTTTGGTAAAGGCTGTTCTCCAACTGGAGCTCTCGCAGGCCATTGTTTCCTGGTTGTCGATGTTTATACTCCATTTTTAAATATTTGCCTTGAGACAGTCTTTGAGCGTCTTTTGTTGACCACCAGCACTACGTTTTCAATTTTTAAGCTCGGAATAGAGTAGTTGCTTTGGAAGACGACAATCAGGCATCTGCACAACATGACCAGTCCAACGAAGTTGCTGTTGAAGAATCATTGCTTCAACACTGCTGATCTTTGCTCCTTCCAGTACACTGGCATTAGTTCACCTGTCTTTCCAAGTGATGTGTAGAAATTTTAAGAGACACCTTTGATGGACTCTTTTGAGGAGTTGAAGATGGTGTTTATAAGTGGTCCACATTTCACAAGCATACGGTAAGGTTGGTAGTACAATAGCTTTGTAAACAAGCATTTTGGTTTCCCTGCAAATGTCCTGGTCCTCAAACACTCTGCACTTCAGTTAGGAGAAAGCTGACATACAGGAAGCTGCCTTATAAGCCTTAGACTCATTGGTCCTTCTAGCTCAGTATTGTGTACACTTACAGTCGGAGGCATTCCAGGGTTTCAAGCTGGTTTGGCTCCCTGCTCTACCTGGAAATGCTGAGGATTGAGCCTGCAACCTTCTGCATGCTGTATCACTGTTCTACGGTCCTTACTTGAAAAGAGTGGCAAGAGAGGAAGCGCTACCAGTTTGTGCTTCCTGTCCACATGATCACAAGTTTCATCTAAGGATGATCATTTAACACAGTGGTGGCCAAACTCGGCCCTCCAGCTGTTTTGGGACTACATTTCCCACCATCCCTGACCACTGGTCCTGTTAGCTAGGGATGATGGGAGTTGTAGTTCCAAAACAGCTGGAGGGCCGAGTTTGGCCACCACTGCTTTAAGTGATGCATGTTCAGTGCCCAGCCTCCTTCAGCAAAGACCACAACTCTGGGGAGAAGGAAAAGCAAGCCTTCCATGGAAGCTGGGAGTGCATTTTCAGTGTGGGGAGACTGAGAGCATGTGTTGGGCTTGTGCACATCTTTGACTTGTGCTTGGTTGGTTTGCACCGTGCAGGGCAAGCGGTTGGGTGGCAGCCCTTTGCTGATTGGAGGAGACAGTCAAAATGGCACTTTCTAGTTTGGAATTAATGCAGGGCTTCCGCGCCCCCCCCCAGCTAGTACTCACCATAACTCAGTTCTGGCACCTCTCAGGTAGGTGCCATTGTCATTATAAGAGAACAAGGGAGGTGTTCGTGGTGAGTTCCAGCACCCCTTTTCCTAGAAAAATAGCACTGAATAAATGCATTCTGCTTAAACAGTGCATGCATAAGGTTTTCTGTTTGGGGTATGTGTGCAAAACAGCTTGTAGAGTATGGACTCAGGCAGCTTTAACACCTCTGCAACTTGCTATTGTGTAAAATGTTAAGCACAATGGGACTAGATAAAGTTGGTGCCTCAGAGAGAAAGTAAGTTGGATAATGGTTATTATGACTGGTGTCCTCTCGTAATGTCCCTGCTAGATGGGGTAAGCCCATCTTTGTAAGACACAAGCACCCTTCACCCTAAATAAGGTTTGCAATGTCCTAAGATAGGTCAAAGTGTAGAGACTTGTGTAAGATCTCCCGTGGGGGGAACAGTTGCCAGTTGTACTTCTGCCTGGTCCCCTTTGTGTAGCCTCTGAATACCAAAGTTGCTTTTATTAGAGTTTGCAACAGCCTTGGAGGATGAGTGTTGCGTGATCTGTGGTGACAGTAATGATTAAAAGGTGGAGATTTGCCCAAGGGAGGATGGCTTTGAATCCGCCTTGTTACAAAAGCCAAATCTGAAGTTGATTCTCCCACACCCGTGCATTTCACAGCTCTTTTTCTCCTAAGCTGGTCGCATCAGCATGGCTTCATTAGAGCTGGATTCATTGTGTATGTTTTAATTTTTTTTGGGGGGGGGGAATTGACAGGGTGGAGAGATAATTTACCCTCTGCAAAGATGTTCACACCTTGGGTAGTGACAGAATAGGGAATGACTTAAGGACTCTAATTATTGGGAAGCTGATCTGAGAAGCAGGCATCAAACAAGTTTTATATCAGTGCACAGAATTATGTCATATGGACACAGATTAAAAATCCAGCCCTGGAAAAAACAGTAAGTATTTGGTATGTGAACACAGGTTCACACCCAGCTGAGTATAGGACTGCAGCTTTAATCACCCCTAGGCAAACTCTCTACCTTGCTACATCCTTTAAGAACAGTTGAAGGAGGAGGAGAATGAAAAATCAAAAAAACTTTTAGCCCCACTTGCAATCTGCTTATCTGCATTGGTTTTGAGGCTGCAGTGTAATCTTTCCCACTATCAATTAATCCTTGCTTAGCCCTCTGTCTATTTGGGCCTGTGCTGGGCAAAGCAAGCAGAAGAAGGTTTTATATATTTAGGCTGATTTATCTAAACTTGAGTTACATTTGATTTTAGGAGGTCAATCCTTTGGAACAGAGCTTCTCTCAGAAGGGCTTGGCTGTTGGTTCTGTGGTTTTCCTGGCTCTAAAAGCACCGGGCTTTGTGTCAACTGCATCTGACACAGTGGCGTCAATTATTTCTTTCTACCAAGTGTAAATTCTGGCAGCAAAAGCAGCACTCAGAGGAGAACTGGAGCCTCTGGTCCGCTACTGTAGTGTAAAATCCAAATTAATGGCCAAGGATTTCACTGTCTGTCCCTGTCCTGGACTTCCCAAGGGACTAGGACAGTCATTCACTGACCAAGTGTTGCTGCGGAATATGTTAGCATTCAAGCTCAATATTTGACCTGTCTCTTACTACTGGCTTGATGAGCAGTTTTTCCTCACAGGTAGTTTGACCATATGCAAAAGAGGACAGGGCGGTTGCAACTTTAATAATTCTGCAGGAGACTTTCCATCAGCTGTATCAAACGGATAATCTCTCTTTAGTGTAAATATTAAAGGTGGCAGAGACCTGGTCCTCTTTATAGGGTGGCTGTCAGCACATTTACTAAAAAGGAGGATGAATGAGGGCACCAGTTTGCATAACATTTCTGTAGGCTGATAGTTATGGGTAGACATTAATTTAGAAATGATTACTGTGATTTCAGCACAA